AGTGCTGGGATTACAGGCGTGAGCCACCGCACCTGGCCATTTCTCCCTACATTTCTAAGATGATTATAAATCATATACTAGAATGTTAAAAAAATACCCTACTAACAATAATTTTAAACGTATTTAAGGACTATGTAACAATGTATCAAATAATAGATGCTGAAGAAAGCAAATATGGAAAGTTTATGTCAAAACTGACTGAGGACAAAGAATGTGTATAGCAAAAAGTGAAAGAAAAGTTAAATATTCAGTGTATAAGAAGTATGAGGCTAAATAGTAGGAGGTCTCTGGGAGCTCTAACATGAAACTAGGGAATGAGGTTAGCAGGCAGAGTCCTGCATTCCCTTCCCTCTTTGTCAATCTTATTGGCAGTTTTTCCTATCATTTTGAATAGCATTTCCAGGGTGGGTGAAAATCATACACAACACAGTAAGAGTGATATTCTGTGTTACCATTCCAAAGGAAACCACTAAAGGGTGTTGGTAGAAGAACTAATTCTGACCTGTTACTAGCTTCTTCTGAGGAACAGTGGAGGTATTTTTTTTTCTTCTATTCTATTCCTACTTTGTAATAAACAAGTTTTTAAAGTGAAATCTTTAAACTGAAAAATTGGCAGCTACATAGCTGTATGAATCTTCTAACTGAAACATTAGCACATCTCTACTCATCACTAAAAACAAAGCGAAAAACAAAACTTGTAAGACTCCCCACCACCTCCACATGGTAAGTTCAAATCGACACAAATTGCACTACCTGTTGCAGACATCCTGATTGTTCCAGCCAGTCACCTTGAATCAATGATCTTATAATTACCCATTTTGTCCATTGGACCCCCAAATCTATTTCTTTCACACCAAAATACCCCAGTGAAAACACAGCTCAGGATTTCCTCAGATGTGGGATCATATCTTATTTCTTACTTAATCACTCAAGTGCAAATTAGACAGCCGTAGTCTTGGATCCCACACCCAAGAAACCTTGGCTTACCTTTTTACTGTTAGACAAATTATTCACAACACCAACCTCAAAAGTCTACAGTCTTTATTGTTGCAGTTCTGTCAGATGAGCTGTTGATCTTGCTGTGGTGCAGCACTCATGCAAAATATGCTGAAACACATGTTCTGATAATTTCTCTTTTATGAATTAATTTATTTAAATACATGTTCACAATACCCAAGACATATTTTTCAAAAAAACTGACCAGAATACATCTGTTCGAGAGCTAATGTCTTAAAGTCTACCTAAACAATGTTTCACAGAGTTTATGCTTTGTCACATTGAGAAGAGGTCTATCAAGGACAGCCTTTGGCTTGTTATCAGTGTATAATGTGTTTAAGAGAAATAAAGGAGAAAAGACAACTAAATGTTACATTCTAGGGTACAGTAGAGCCAGAACAAATATTTAACACTGGGAAATCATACTTCGATAACATCAACACTGTCTGCTGTCTGCTACTATCTAAACCAAGTGATTGAGTTCTTTATATTTTGGCGAGTTAATCCATTGCCTCGCAATCTAATCCTCACAGTGTGGCATTTAAAATGGGGTATGGGCATGAATATAGGACTAAAATCAGGTCAAAGTCAAGTCCTCATCAGTTCTGAATACATAAAAAGAAAAAGAATGGGTAAAGTTTATATTAACATAACAACAAAGTTTATTTTATGAAATCTTGCTTTATATAATCAAAACCAGTAACAGAAAGAGGCAAAAAAAAAAAGTTGTGACCAAAGCATTTCTTAAATAAAATAAATATATATGACTAACTGGATGTTCAAGTCCTTAAAAACGCTGTTACCATAATTTAGCATTTCAATTTAAAGTTTCATCTGGCAAACTGGTCACTGCTCAGGATTTTTCACTTGAAAAATCAGAAAAATAGAAGAATAATAATCAACAAAAACAACTGAGCTCTCAACAATACTACAATTAAAATTCAATGCATTAAAATGTTCCACAGGAAACAAATGACAACATTAAGATTTAAGAATTCAAGATTTAAGATTCAAGAATTATTATGAGCAATCATTTGTACGTCTTCTAATACACAGAATTTTCATTGGTGGAAAGACACTCATCCCAGCCCACAGAAATCGTGTGAATGTTTGATGCAATGGATGATTAGACACTATGGAGGATCTCATGTGTATTTGATCAATGCTACAGAAATGTTTTATACCTATACTGATGCAGCACATCTATGGTCATTCACCACACTCCAAATTTCAGAAAAGCAAACTAGAAAATGATTGAGACTTAACCTTCACATTGGTAAAATGTCTCCTTCCTCTAGACTATAAACTTGATTCACAAAAATTATTCTACCTTTTAAAACTATTCTACCTTTGTGATAAGCTTAAACACAGAATTATGACTGCATAGGAGTTAGGATAACACTGAAGAGGAAAAAATTCTGATTCTCAACATGGATAAAAGATATGATTCTACCAATTATTATAAAAAGGAATATAATTCAAAATCCTTTTCCAGAATATTTTAGATAATAAAATGAAAGAGTGAGGTGCTTCTTTGTGTAGAAACAAAATTATAATTTATACTTCTTCAAGTGTATAGTATGGGATAAGACTTGGAGAACAATCAAGAATAAAAATTTAAATATTTTGTGGATGCATTATGCTCTTTTAGCAAATTCTGTTAAGTACATCACAGATAAAGATGTTTTACTAAATCATACAGTAATTTTACTCCTCAAATTGTGGCAACATTATAACAAATAAACATATACTAGAATAGCAAGTTTATCTTTTAAAAACTGATTATTGCATAAGATAACATGCCTATCTCAGAGTACCTAAGTTATTTTATAAATAGTATTTCTCTCATCACAGCTAAAAATCTCCACTTTGTGTTTATTTTATCATTCTTTTGGCAAGAGTATGCATCATTGAACTGAATTCTTTGTTACTTTATAAAATCCGTGTATGCTTTTTTCAAATTAAATAATTCAATCAGAATACATTCAGAAAAATATTACTAATTATCATGGAACCAAAATAACAACAACAAACCAAAGAAACCTCCATCACAATGGCAAACAATCATTCCCAAAAGCGAGTCCATATACATACTCCAGAAGAGAATGTAAACTTACATCTTAGCTCACACCAAACCTCAGGCAATCTTACAGTATTGTAAATAGAAAAGCAGAAGAAGGAAATATTTGTTCAAAGACGAACTCTTCTTCAATAAGGCCCTACTATTTTGCCTTTCAGAGTTTTATAAACCAGGAAGTACATTCCATGACAACATAAATAATTTCATCACCTTTTAGTTTCACATCATAAAGCCAACCTATAGAGTTCATTGAAACTATAAAAAATTTGGGTTCAAGAACGTCAACAAGCATAAAAACATGGGTGAAACAAAGCAAAGCAGAACAAAACAAATCAAAACAAAACCATCATATACTTCATGGATTCGTCGTGAAAATGATAAAGAGATTCTTCTTACCGAGTACCCCAAGTCGATAGTTGACTGTGATGACGATCACATTGCCATAACTTGCCAAGACACTTCCATCATATAAATTTCCAGTACCTTCCATATATGAGCCACCATGGATATACACCATCACTGGTTTGGGACCCCCACTGTCCCGAATATCTGGAAAACAAATGGTTGACAATCTTTCTTATCCTCAAAAATAACACCCAGTGAAGTAGAGAATACATTTTCCATCTTAGAGAAAAGAGGGCATAATTTCAATATAGTTCTTAAACTGCTGTTTTTATTAAAGTGTTTCTTAAGCAACTCAGATAAATAGCTATTGTGGAAATAGCAATAGGCATCCATTGTTTTCTATCAAAATTTTGTTTACAAGTTGCAAACTGAGTTATAAAACTTAGACAAATTAAAATTAGATATGAATTTTAGTGCATTTTGATTAATTCCTCAAGTGACAGTAAAAGCAAAAGAAATAGAATGGCAATGATTCTTAGGACTACTTTTTAAAACTATTATAGACTTCACATGACATTTATGAGCCATAAACTAAAGACAATGGTATTATTGCTATTGTGAATAAAACAATCTGTTTATCCTTTCTTATGTACTGTAAAGCTTTGTGTCAAATGCAACATGATTACATCAACTCATTTATGCTCCAATGTGTGAACGTAATTATAGTATTGTGTTATGCAAGATGTTTCAGTTTACTACCTAAGGAATTTCAGATGAATGTTTAGGCAGTAAAGTCATGTACATCTGTGCTTCTCTTGTTACATTTAGGGGAATGTCATTAGAATGACATTTTTTGGGAAATTCAGGACATCCACTATATCCAGCTCCCCTTACCCTTTGGAAGAAGAGAACAGACAAATATTTTTTTTACTTTCTTTGTGTAGCTAATATACTCCTCTTCTTCACACTTTGGCTCTATGTTTTATCCTGTAGACATGGGATGGGATAGAGCTACGTTCAAATGTAAAGTGTAAAAATTTAGGGTTAAAGTGATTTCTACAGCTCCGAATTTTATTAAATATATTTGCTTTTTTCATACTTTTCCTCAATTATGTAATTTTCAATAAGAATCTAAAAATAATATATAAATAAAATAAGATAATTTTAATCAATATGAAAAGTGTACTGATTTCTGTAGAGAAGTCTAACTGTATATCAGCAAATATAGTTTTATCTATGAATTATACAGATTGAAATATTTGAAATATTATATGTATCTATATATATGGCTCTGAATATATACATAAATAAAACATTACTATTATATAATAGCCCATGATCTCTTACACCCACAATTGAAACAAATTACATCAAATGTATTATCTTTTTTATGCCAATATTAAAAAGTATAATTTAATAGTATGTTTTTGTTCCTTTGTTTTTGAAATTTTTTATCAAATTTAACTCTCCAACATCCTTATAATCGAGGTGCCAATTTTCAGAATGGACTAATAGAATACAAATTTATTGAAAGAACTAGTGATTACTTAGAGATTGCTTTGCATTTTTTGTAAAAAATAGATTGTGTAATGTAAATGCCTTGATTTCTCTAGTGTAATAATAAAGTGATTTCTTTAAATGAAGAATCATTTTAGGTTCAAGAATTGCAGTTCAGCTTGGTTAACCAGATTTTCGAATTAGGGAAATAGCTCATTGCAGAACTTACAACCTTTTTTAAAAGACTATTTAAATTTGACTTAATACCAGTGTATAAAGTTACTCATACCCCTCTAATACCCCAAAGGTATATTTGAGAAGAATGTCTTGTTTTTAAGTAGTGAGGGAAGGATATTTTGACATAGGAACCATTCACTAAACACAGACACATTTAAGAAGAAAATCTAAATTTATTTTCTCCTTGAAACCTTGGGAGAAAAAAGTAGTACTCATTCACTTATAAAGATTTGGGGCTTGTGGAGATGTTAGGCTGACTTACACAGAGAAAGTAATCCTTTTGAGATTGTTAAACCATGCACCTTAAATGCCTGTTTGCTACATACAGTTTCAGTTTCTTATTTTTCTAGTGTGGCTGGCACTGAAGAAGCAATAATAAATTATTAAACTGAAATCATTAACTGACTGTTCACAGCAGACACTGTACTCTGCTAATTGTATGCTTGGAGGTAGCACAGAGGGAGGCTGTTTCAGAATTCTTCTTTAATTAAAATTACACAGAATTACAAAGCACCAACTGTGAACAGTAATGAAATCTTGGTAGAACCATTCTGTTCACCTGGAAAACAATACAGGCACACATTGAGAAGAACTGCCACGTTTTATATTTAATAACAGAATTAAGTGGACATTGTCAGAAAACACTGAAAATATGA